ATAGTTTTCTTGACGTTAAGCTTCAATTCATTTAAAGATTACAGTCCTTGAGTTTCTGTAGATGATGCTTCAGTTTCTCCTCAGTTTCAGCAAGGAGGGTCCTATCATCTGCATAATGTAAGTTGTTGATGAGTCTTCCTCTAATTCTGATGCTACTTTCCTTCTTATAAAGACCAGCCTCCCAAATTATCTGTTACACATATAGATTAAAAAGGTGTGGAGACAAGACACATCCCTGACACACCTCTTTTCCTGATTATGAACCGTGCAGTATTTCCTTGCTCTGTTCTGACAACTGTGTCTTGGTCCAAGTATAGGTTTCACATGAACACCATTATGTGTTCTGGGATTCTCATTCTTATGAATATTAGCCACAATTTGTGGTGATCCACTCTGAAACACCTTTGCTTAGTCAATGAAACATAGGCAGACATTCATCGGGTACACTTTTGGCCAAGATCCATCTGATATTAGCAAAGATGTCCCTAGTGTCGTGACCTCTTCTAAATCAAGCCTGTACTTCTGGTAGTTCTCTGATGATGTACTGTTCCAGTGTTTTTGTGGATAATCTTCAGCAAGATTTTGCTTGCATATGATATTAGTAATATTGTTCAATAATTTCCACACTCTGTCAGATCACCTTTTATAAAAAAAAACAAAGAAGTTTATTTTAATAAATCACCCTTTTTTGGAATGGGAATCAATATGAATATCTTCCACTCAGCTGGCCAGGTAACTGTCCTCCAGATTTCTTAGCACAACTTGATGAGCACATTCAGGGCTGCATGTGTTTGATGAAATATCTCAATTGGCATGCCATCCATTCCTGTGGCCTTGTTTTTTGCCTATTTCTTCAGAGCAGCTTGAACTTCCTCCTTCATCACTATTGCCTCTTGGTCACATACTGTTTCATGAAATTCTTCAGTGTCAACAAATTCTTTTTAGTACAGTGAATCTGTATTTTTCCATCTTTTTTTAAAAATGCATCGTAGATCATTCAATATTCTGCCCATAGCATCTTTAAGTATTGCAACTTGAGGCTTGAATTTGTTCTTCAATTCCTTCAGTTTAACAAATGCTGAGCAAGTTCAGCCCTTTTGATTCTATGACTCCACCTCTTCGCACTTGTTATAATAACACTTTGCTTTGTCTTCCCAAGATGCTTTTTGAAATCTGTGTAGCTCCTTGACTTCCCTATTTCTTCCTTTCGCTTTGGCTTCTTGGCAATCTAGAATAGTACTAGAATAGTACTCAGAGTCTCTTATGACATCCATCTTGATCTTTTCTTTCTCCTCTGTCTTTACAATAACTTTTTGCATTCATCATGGATGATATTCTTTATATCCTTTCCCAGTTCATCTGGTCTTTATCCATTAGTGTCCATGGCCTCAAACCTGCTCATGAGATAGTTTTTAAATTCAGGTGGGACAGATTGAAGGCCAAATTTTATTTCTTGTGGATTTTATTTAATTTTCTTTAGCTTCAATTTGAAGTTGCACATGAGTAGTTGATGGTCTGTTCTGTTCCACAATCTGTACCTGGCCTAGTTTTCACAAGATGATATTAAGCTTCTCCAATGATTCTTTCCACATATGTAATCAATCTGATTCCTGTGTAGACCATCAGGCGAAACCCATTTGTATTGTTGCTGCTTGTGTTTCTTATTAAAGGTATTTACAATGAATAAATCATTGATTGCACAGAATTCTGTCATTCTATCTCCAGCCTCATTTCCATCATCAAGTCCATGTTTTCTGACTACTGATTCTTCTTTCTTGCTTCCAACTTTTTCATTCCAATCACCTATTGTTATTATTACACCTTGGTTGCTTGTTCTGTCAATTTCCAACTTCAAAAGTTGGTAGAAATATCTATTTCCTCCTCTTTGTCTCTGCTTGTTGGTGTATACATTTGAATGATAGTGGTATTAACAGGTCTATGCATATGGATATTATCCTGTTAGTCACAACATTGTATTTCAGGATGGATTTAGAAATTTTTTTTTACTATGAATGCAACCCCATTTCCCCCTCACCTTATCATTTCCATTCCCAGTGTTGTAAATTATATGATTATGCTCTGGGAGGAACCAGCCAGTGGAGAGGGATGTCATGCTTGGGAGGATGGAGGGACAGTGCAGGAGAGGAAGACCCTTGATGAGATGGATTGATTCAGTGACTACGGTAATGGGGATAAGTGTGTCAGAGACAATAAAATCGGCACAGGATAGAGTAGGGTTTAGGGCTGTTGTACATAGGGTTGCTATGAAACACAGGCAACAAAAACAACAACAATCCAAAGGCATGTGATGTGAATCTGCAAGCTGCTCCAAGGGAGAAAAACATGCAGTCTCCTCCCATATAATGAACTGCTTCTGAAAACCCACTGGAGGAGCAGTTATTTGTTGGTTATTGATGGTATGTAACAACAATATGTATCCTTAAGGTCTATTTTCTAGTGTACTTATAATCTTTATTGTTTCAATTTACACAAAGGTTTTTCATTAAACTGTAGAGGTAAATTTTCTAAATCAATATTCCATTAACACATAGAACACAGCACATTGTTATTACGTTCTGTCTAGCCAACTAGGATTTTTAGAGACCCTATCAACAAGACATCTTAACATTACCTTTTTAGCTGTGCCACCCTCACCATCATGAAAATGCACCAGCCAATTTCTACAATCCCTGTAACAATCCATCTTATTGAAGGCTTTCTCTCCCACTGTGTACCTTCCACATTCCCAGCACTTTTCCCGAAGATTAGCACCTCTTGACAATATGCTCAAAGTGAGACAATTCCCAGTCCTTGCACCCTAGTTGCACCTTAATTGTTGCTCCTTTTTCCCCAACAGAATTTTAATTCCCTTTAAAAAAAATCTAAAATCTGAGTTGCTTGTTCTATGTTATAAATAGCTAAGAAACATACTTAATTGTAGGCAACAAAATGACCTAGAAAACAAAATAGACATTTTACATAATTTCTAATTAGAACTATTGTTAGATCCAGTGATCTTTAGAAACTGGGAAAACAAGACTGTATTTACTAAAGTGTTTCCTCTCACATAAGAATGTAATAAAAAATAGTGCACATATTTCCAAAATGTAAAATTCTTATGAAGAAAATATTCATGAAATGTTTTCTACTTAGTATCTCCTTTTCACTTAACCAATTACAGTAGTACACTGGGAAAAAGAAAAATGTGAAGAGTTAAGGGCAGAAAAGCAGAGAAGATTATTTAAGGAAGTCATTCTTTTAAAATTGATATTAACATGACTTTGTAAACTTTGTGAGCAATGTTTATCTATATCAAATCTTTATCCCAAAAGAACTAATATTTCATAATAAAATATAGCCAAATACTCAACATCGTATATATTTAATTGACTATATCTTTCTTACCACTCTAAGGTGGTTGTTGTTACATCGCCTGCAACTCATAGCAACTCAATGTACAGCAGACCTAAACTCTGCCCTACCTTGTGCCAATCTTATCGTCTCTGACACACCTACCACCAATACCCCAGTCACTGAATCAATTGATCTCATCAAGGACTTTCCTCTCCTGCACTGTCCCTCCGTCCTCCCAAGCATGATGTCCCTCTCCAAGGACTGGTTCCACCTTGAAGTGTGTCCAAAGTATGTCAGACAAAGCTTCAGAATCCAAGGTTGTTGTTGTTGTTGTTGTTGTTGTTGTTATTGTTGTTATGTGCCATCGAGTTGCTTGCAACTCACAGTGTCCCTTTATACAACAGCCCTAAACTCTGCTCTGTCCTGTGCCAATCACACTGTCTTCGATACACCCACCCCGATTACCCCAATCACTGAACCCACCTCATAGAGGGTCTTCCCCTCCTGCACTGTTCCTCCACCCTCCCAAGCATGATGTCCCTCTCCAAGGACCTGTCTCTCCTTACAACATGTCCAAAGTATGTCAGAAGAAGCCTCAGAATCCCTGCCTCCAAGGAGCTGCCCCATTTAACCCTTTCCAGGATGAATCTGTTTGTTTTCCTAGCAGTCCACGGTACCCTCAATACCCTTCCCAGCACCACAGCTCAAAGGCATCAATCCTTCTTCTATCCTCCCTAGTCATTGTCCAACTCTCTGATGCATATCAAGTGATTTCAAAGACCACAGCCTGTATCAGATGCACTTAGTCTCCAAAATGACACCATTGTTCTTATGCACTTTGGAGAGGTCCCTAGGAGCAGACTTTCCCATGGCAACACGTCTTTTAATTTCCTGGCTGCTGGTGCCAAGAGCGTTGACTGTGGAGCCAAGCAAACAAAAGCTGTGAACAATCTCAATCTCTTCACCATCCAAGGTAGAAATCTTAAAATGTGAACCATATGAGGTTGCTTTAGTAGTGTATTCTGTAGGAAGTTGTGCTGCTAACCTATGAACAGCCAGTTCATAGTCACCAGAAGCTCTGCTGGAGGAGATGGGGATCTCCTCCTGTGATATATTTACAGTCTCCAAACCCTGCTCGAAGGTCAGCTATGAGGCAGTTTCCACTCGGTGAAGCACAACAACGTCTGTCATCTGGTCGATCATAGATATGTATCCTGCATTTAATTGATAATTACCATGAAAGAGCACAAAAATAGCTAGGAATGTATTTTAAATAAAAGCTCAGCTCATTGCCCTGGAGTAAGAACTGTCTCATAAAACATCCTTTAGCAAGGCTTCCAAGGAAGTAAGAGGAACAGAAATGACTGTGAATCTTGCTTCTGAAGAGTTACTATTCGATTCAAACCGCCAGAGGGATATCACCTTAGGATTAGCAACACAAGTCGCTGTGGACTAAGCCAGCCGAGCTCTCGAAAGTATATACTTGTTTTGGAGAATGAGGATCTGTATACTTAAAATGATCACTTTATCACTCTATGTGACTGAGGTCTTTGCGAGTATAGGAGAATCCACTTGTGAATATTAAAAAATTTTATCCTCTTCATTCTGAAAGGGGAATGCCCACAATATCTATATCTAGAACTCACCAAGGGTCAGTACTTACTTTTAGTTGTACAAGCACTGGTGAACTGAAAACTCCTGGAGGGTAATGTAAGGAAATCCGTGAATCCACACTTGGCTTAAGAGTAAGGCCTTTCTTTGTTATCATGAAGGATTCTTTCTTTAAACAAGACACCACAGAGAAAATACCCAACTTGTAAACTTTCACTTCGGCGCAGGTCCTTCCCTGTGGGGATTAAAGGATGTTAAAAAAAGTAACAGTGCTGTTTGAGGAGCAATACGTGCTTTTCCTTCTCTGTGAATGATTACAAAAAAAAACGTGCACGCTGTTCATGCCTGTGCCCACCGTTTGGAATGAGCCCATTCACCTCGAATGATGGTCCTTCGTGAAATTTAGGTGGGATCGTTTTTAGCTTTTGTAGAGTCGAAATTGACTCATTAAGACCCGGTGCTCAAAAGCACAGGATGCGGCCTGTTCCTGCTATGCCATCCTCATGATCAGTTGCAAATCGAACTGTTATGATCTCTAGAGTTTTCCTCCTCAGGCCTTTTTTTGTTTGGTTATTTTTCCTAATCTGTCCTAGTCTGGAAGCACTTCTGAAATTTATTAGTAATTTAGTAGCATACAAGCCCCAACTGACAAGTAGTTGTTCTGCTTGGAGCAAACTTACCAGAAGTGTGGGCCCAGAAGGCAAGAAATCTACTAATTAACCCCCATTAAATCTGAAATTAATGAAGAAGCAAGTAACGATGTGTTTGTCAAATCTGTACTATTCAAATAGGAGAGGAGTAAGTGCTTTTTTAAATTTAAATTAAATTCCAAAATTCCTCTGTAAACTAAGCAATCACATTGAGGTTTTCACAAATAGGAATTGCTTCTTGAGTCCTAACCTACAATGGACTTTAAATTTACTTCTCCAACACAGTACTGCTTTAGAGAATTGCCAAGAGCTGGAATTTCATCAGTTGGGTTATTCATTCAAATGCCAAGGCTCCCATACCTGTCAGCAAACTTATCCCTCTGAAAAGTTATACTGTCTTTGAAAACGGAAGTAGTCCTTTTCTTTCTTCCTTTCTCTCCTCTATGGAATAGGAGCAGATGATTGCAGAGAGACATATTTGTATTTCTTTTTATATAATGGCATTTAAATGTGTAATGCATATATGCAGGCACATATTTAAGTGTCTTTATCACACAAAAGAGAAAAGAGTACACAAAATGATCTACACATATAATCACCATAGCTTAAAACAAGGAGGAAGAATTATAAGTAATTTAGTCTATTCAATGCTTCCCCACACACCAGCCAGACTCCACCCCAGCATGAGTGGATAATGATGTTTACATGCACACAGACATTTCAAGGACAATTACATGGAAACAAATCTCTCCTTTGAAAGCTGACTAAGGAAGAGGTTTCACAATATCACTGCAGGAACCTATTGTTGAGAAAATTCAGGGCATGATGAAAGTTCTGAACTGGCCTCAGGGAAATGGCAAGAGGTAAGAAAGCAGGCTTGCTGGGAACTGCTCATAGCCATCACGCTAAAGCATTTAGACAACATTTAGCAGGCAATAGGGAACCCAACACCAGGGTTTTAAGCAGGAAAGTGTTGAACAAAACTCAAATCAAGATTTTCCCTGACTCCAGAATTAGAACTGTTAAATGTGATATGACCCACATAAAAGTTTTGGAGGGAATCCAGAATTTCAAATTTGTTAAACTAAAAACAGGGATAAATAACATTAAAATACCAAAGATAAAAGTAAAAGCTTTCATTTTCTTACTGCACACTATGATTCTCTTATTTCCCTTTTGCTTTGGAATGGACACATGTATCTATTTACTAAATATCTTAAACTTAAAAAATCCAACAGCAACAAACAAATCCTCCCTGCTGTCAGCACTGACACATGGCTGACCTTCCTGCAAGTTTTCAGAGGTTGTATATCACTTGGGAACAGATTTCTCATCTTAATCCCTCAGAAAATCTGGTGGATTTGAACCACCTCCCTTTGAACTGGCAGCAGAACTCCTAATTCAATAGGCCTAGAATTCTAAATACCTTTTATGTGTCCATTAGATGTGCAACATGTACTATGAGTAGTTTCTGCTCTTATTATGATAGCCAGATGTACCATACAGGATTTAAAACCTTCACTGAGGGTAATGCTGATCAGTAATATAGGCTACCTAGAGTTAGTGATCTCTGGTGGTCAATTGTTGCTTTGTGGCACTAAGTCAACAATTCATAACACCTCTATGAACAATGGTTCTGGACCTTGTCTTATCCTCAGCCGATCTCATCCTCCCTGACACACCTGGCTCCATTCCCACAGTCACTGTGTAGAGCCATATCATCCAGGGTCTTCCTCTCCTGCACTGAATTTCTACCCTCCCCAGCATAATATCCCTCTCTAAGGACTGGACCCTCTTGGCATCATGTCCAAAGTATTTGAGATGAAGCTTCAAGATCATTGCCTCCAAGGAACAACCTGGCTTTACCCTCTCCAGGATAGAACTGTTTGTTCTCTTGTTGGTCCATAAGAAGAGTTCAATACTCTTCTCCAGCACCACAACTCAAAGGCACTGGTTTTATTTCCATCAGCCCTATTCATTGTCCACCTCTCCTGTCAGAAGTATAAGAAACAATTGATAGACTATGGCCTAAATCAATCACACCTTCAGCTCCAGACAGACATCATGGCTCTTTATGACAAGGAATCTCCTCCCAGGAAATTAGCTGCCTTTGCAAACCAGTTGGACAGAGTCAGCTATGAGTCATTTCCAGTTAAGCTGCACACAACAAAAACAATATTACCATAAAATATATTGGCTGCATGAATTGAATAGACGGAGATAACATTGAAATTGTTAGTGATGAAGAGACAGGTACTGATATTGAACTGGGAGAGTCTGCTGTCAAGGACGTCTCCAAAGTCCTGTGGAGGAATAACGTCAGTCTAAAGATTAAAGTGGGCCTGATTCAAGCCACGGTCTTTTCCAATCGCCTGCTATGCATCTGAAAGCTGGACAATGAATAAGGATGACAGAAAAATAATTGATGACTTAGAGTTGTGGTATTCAAGAAGTGTAATAAATATCTCACAAACTGTCGAAAAAACAATATATATATATCCTTGAGAAAGTGAACCAGAGTGTTCCTTTGAGACAAAGATGGAGAAGCTTCATCTTTTAGGTATGCATGTTGTTATTGTTATGTGCCATCAAGTCACTTGCGACTCATAGCGACCCTATGTACAACAGCCCTAAACCCTGTTCTACCTCTTGCCAACCTTATTGTCCCTGACACACCTATCCCCATTACCCCAGTGATGGAATCAATCCATCTCATCAAGGGTCTTCCTCTCCCGCACTGTCCCTCCACCCTCCAAAGCATGACGTCTCTCTCCAAGGACTGGTCACACCTTGCAACATGTCCAAAGTATGTCTGACAAAGCTTCAGAATCCTAGTCTCCAAGGAGCAGCCTGGCTTCACCCTCTCCAGGACAAGTTTGTTCGTTCTCCTAGCAGTTCATGGTATATTTAATATTATTCTCCAGGACTAACGCTGAAAGGCATTAATTAATTCTCCTTCTAGCATCCCTGGTCATTGTCCAGTTCTCTGATGCATAGCAAGTAATGGAAAATACCATGGCCTGTATCAGGAGTACTTGAGTCTCCAGACTGACATCGCTGCTCCTCAGTACATTGGAGAGGTCTCTGACAGCAGACCTTCCCACTGCAATTCACTTTTAATTTCCTGGCAGCTGGTACCAAGAGTGTTGATTGTAGAGCCAAACAAACTGAAGTTATCAACAATCTCAATCTCTTCTCTATCTATCATGATGCTGCCAATCAACCCAGTTGTGAGAATCTTTGTTTTCTTGATATTGAGCTTTAATCCATATTGAAGGCTGCAATCCTTGACCTTCTGCCGCAAGCGCTTCAGGCCCACCTCAGTTTCAGCGAGCAAGGTTGTGTCATCTACATAACGTAGATTGTTGATGAGTCTACGTCCAATCATGATGCCTCATTTCTCCTCATAGAGCCCAACCTCCTGGATAACCTGTTCTGCATATAGAATGAAAAGATCTGGAGATACGACACATCCTTGACATACACCCTTTCTAATTTTGAACCATGCAGTGTTTCCCTCCTCTGTTCTGATGTATGCCAAGTCCAAGCATAGGTTTTGCATAAGCATGATCAAGTGTTCTGGGATTCCCATTCTTCTCAAAGTCAACCACAGTTGCTGTGATCCACACAGTCAAATGCCTTTGCATAGTCAGTGAAACACAGATAGACATTCCTCTGGTACTCTCTGCTTTTAGTTAAGATGCATCTGACATTAGCTATAATATCACTAGTGCCATGAAGTCTTCTAAATCCAGCCTGCACTTCAGACAGTTCTCTGTTGATGTGTTGTTCCAGTCATTTTTGAATAATCTTCAGCAGAATCTTGCTTCCATGTGTCAATGATATTGTTTGATAATTTCCACTCTTTTGGATTCCCTTTCACTGGAATGGGAAAAAATATAGATCTTTTCCAGTTAGTAGACCAAGTGTTGTCCTCCAGATTTCTTGGCACAAGTTGTTGAACATATCCAGGGCAGCATCAGTTTGTTGAAATATGTCAATCGGTGTGCCATCAATTCCTGGGCCCTTGTTTTTTACCAATTCTTTCAGAGTAGTTTTATCTTTCTCCTTCATTATCCACCCTTAGCCCAGTGCCTTGACCCACTTACTTCCCAGCTCCACCCTCCACCAGGATAACCCTTCTCATCTGCCAAGTCCCTTCAGAAAATATCTTCCATTGTCCA